GTACTGCCGAATGTCCAGCAATTCGTCTCTGGTGAAACTGATTGCAGGAATATAACTAAAGACAGGACAAATTAACAAAAACACAAAAACAACTGCAGAGCACGCCACGCCATCATCATCGGTGCCATCTGGAGAGGCCATATGATACAACACTTACACATAGCCACCAACGACTTGTGTCTTCTGTGAATATTATGTAATAAATTGTCACTGTTGCTTGTCAAATAGTCTGTTTTTATTTGTAAGCTGGAAGATCTTCTGTTCCGGATATTAGGGATGCGCATTTTTCAAAAATATTGCATTTGAATATTTGAACTCATAAAAAATGTAATATTCGAGTATTTGTTTATTTAAATGACGTTTAATGAGAAAGACCTTTTTTTAATCAAACATTATTTTTCTCACCATTTCCGAACAATCTTATCACAACAAGCTTATAAATTAAATCCTGTGTTTTTTTCCATTTGAAAACTTTAAAGGAGACATATTATGCCCCTTTTTACAATGTGTAATATAAGTCTCTGGTGTCCCCAGAATGTGTCTGTGAAGTTTCAACTCAAAATACTCCACATATCAGTTATTATTTTGAAAATGCCTATTTTGAGTGGAAGCAGAAACACGCTGTTTTTTGGGCCTGTCTCTTTAAATGCAAATGAGCTGCTGCTCCCCGCCCCCTTTTCCAGAATAGAGCTGCGCCATTACAGCTCATACCTGCTAAAGTCATCTGTTTTGGTTCTGATTATCATATTTGTCGCGCTGAAATCATGCGAGTTTTACCATATGAGTTTAAACTTCTTATATACAGTTTTCTGAGCGCACACATCCGAAGCACACGGACAGAAAGCGGCCACCACACAGCATGTGAGTACTAAACTAAGCTCTCATTCACACACACGTTTACGTTAAAAACACATGAGTTACAAAAACAGTCGGTTATATCTGTGAAGGTAAACTGCTGGGAAATAAATTGCATGTTTATTTTAGATCTGTGTGGCAGCAGCAATATACAGTAAATAAATCAATAAATCCACTGCTCTGTTGTCTCCTCTGAGGCTGGGACTCTAAATAGTGTTATGTTCGTGTCTGTGCTGCCAAAGACAGAACAGTTAGCATGTTTTGCTCAAACTATCGCCATGGCATTAGAACTGGTACACCTTTGTTGCCTGTGAAATCAAAATGATGGCGCCGTGGGTGGAAACTTACAGATTAAGGGGCGGTAATATTATAATGTGATCCCTTTGTGACATCACTAGGGAAGCGAAATCTGACGCGCTCGTTTTCTCAGACACTTGCAGAAAAAGGCGTGCCAAAACAAAGTTACTGAGTTAATCTTTTTCACGTTTCCTTGGTTGGTAGATGCACCGGGGACCTGATTATAGCACTTAAAACCTGGAAAATCAGCTTTTCATGATATGTCACCTTTAAACATTGTGCAAAAAAAAAGTAGAGGAAAAAAGCATTTAAAGGGCTATGTAAGAAAAAGTGAAGACGTCAAAGATCTTGATGAAGAATAACTTTTATTACAGAATAGTAGTGACAAAGTACATGTAGTACCTTGGGTTCAACGGAGTCAGACTGAACCCCGAACATCCTAAGCTCAAACATTTTATACACTTAGAGTTTACCCTCAATGTAAAGGAAGTTGCTCCTGTTGTTACAGCTGTGGTCTGTATGTTAATTAAGTTCTAACAACCCTTTTGTCTGAGGTGGTTCTCAGTGTCCCACACCTGCTTCCATTCTACAATTGGTCACCATTTGCTCAGGATGTGATCATCCCAAGTGATCTACAAACAACATAACTGTTGACTTTCTTCTTCTCTATAATAATTAAGCCATTTTGGGAAATGAGCATGATCAAACATATTGTGGAGTGGAATCTGGGTCGGGGCAGACTATAGATTCTTACAGCTATAAGGCACGTACATATACACTCGAGTTGGCATTGTTTCACATGTTCTTGTTGACAAAAAAAACACATGTAAATGATCGGGTGAAAGTCGGCTCCTTATGCCAGCGCCTTTAGCCAGCTGAAAACAGCAGGTGCTCTTCTGAAAATGCCTAGCTTGAACGCTTGCAAATGCTACGGAGGCAGTTTTTTTTTTCTTTTTTCAGTTGAGACGCTCGGGTTGCTGTGATACAGAATAGCCGCTAAAGTAATGTGGCAGATGCATCACGAACTAAATGCATGCATTATTTTTCATATCAATATTAACTTTTCCATTGTCGTTCAGTCGTAGTACTGGTAGGATGTGACAGTTGGTCAGTGTGGTTTTTGCCCCGCCCCTCCTCCACGGCTGGATGGCTGACTGAAAATTGACAGTGATGAGCGCTGCATTTTGCCCAAAGTTAAACATTCATTAGTGCTTTGTTGTGCTGTTGGTGTCTTAAAAAACATGGCGCTCCCATTGAAAACTATTGAAAAAAATATGCTAGCCTCAGGAAAAAACGCTTTGGTGGATACACGGCCATAGTCTGTTTATCAGGTTAGACCAGTTCAGCCTGTAATCGTGCAAGTAATTAACAAATACATTTCGTATAATAATCAGTCCATTTGCGTGTAAAAAAAAAAATCGCAAATCAAAATGAGGCATGAAAAATCATGATCGGTGCATCCCTAGTTTTAAGAGGTTCAGTTGGAAATAGTGTTTGTAATTTTTTTATTATTATGCTGTCACGGTAATGCTGTCATTGATTTTCAGTGAGTTAAAATTTTTGGAAGGTTGACACAATAACATTGCTACTGCACTGCTGCCTTCAATAAATTCTTCTCCCCTTTGGAGCTTAACTATTTAGAATTATTGTGTTAGAAAAAATCGAACACATTAAGCAAGACGCCCAACAGCTGCTCAGCCAAATACAAGAGTGCATTGACTTCCAAAATGACAGAGCAGCGAAAGCTGACAGTGGGAATTCACACTCAAACATGTCCAGCGGGGCTTTATCACGAATGCCTGGAATGCTTGTTTAGGCACTGCTGGATCAATACTTCAATTAAAGATCTTTTAACCTGAATGAAGCAGTCGATGGCAGCTCAGCCTTCCTGAGACATCAGACTGATTCCATCAAGACTTCAAAGACAGCTTCAATTTTGAGGGCATGTGAAACACTCTGTTTTTGTGTTAGTTGATGTTAGTTGAACATGTGTGCATGTTGGGTAAAAGGAGGATTAGATTGAAGGCATTGTTAGAGATGGATGCCGCTCTGTGTGTCTTTGAGCTGATGGGACTCAGGCTAATGTAATAAAGGCTCTGAGATCAGCAGATACCAGCTGTGTTTGTAGGGCTACACAGCATTCTGGGAAATGCTCTCGAGATGCAGTAATGGAAGGTCATAAACCTCTGTTTGTTTTGTTTAGCTGGTGTGCGGTTTGATTAATATCCACACCATTTAAGATGTTATTTTCTGTCTATTGAATTGTTAGTTCATCCAAAAATTTTAATTCTGTCATTATTTAGCTACTCACCCTCATGAAAGGTTGTGCAAAACTGAATATTAGCGGCATGATAATTCTGCTGATGAGATATAGTGATAAATGTTAAAAGTTTAGTTAATAAGCAAGCCATTTTCACTCTCTTTTTCATCTCATGAGTATGACAGCTAATAGGCGGTTGTTTTCAAACGCTCCCGTGTGTGTATTTGTGTCAGCGCTCTTGTGAAAATTTCAAATTTGGTAAATATAATGATATATATTTTTAACTATATTGCTCAGCCCTACCTTTATATCATTCCAAACCCATACAAATTTAGTTTGAAACATATTCAAAATATAAGCTATTTCTGCCCCTACGTTCACCAGAAATGTTGATGCCATTGTGAAAAGATTCCACATGAATCAAGTGGTTTAATCCAAGTCTTCTGAAGAGACACGATTGTTTTATATGATGAACAAGTTAATCATTTAGGGTTTTTTATTCACAAGTAAACATTGATCAACACACATACATAGAGCTCATCAAATATGGTAGACAGAAGGTTTTAGTGTGTTATGCAAGTGCATTTGATCTTCCACAGGAACCAATGAGATTTGTTCTTGCACATCAAGCATTTCCATATTTGATGATACTAGCACAGTCTCTGTTTTGTTAGGGTGCTTTCACACTAGCACTTTTGGTGCACACCCGGGTTTGATTGACGTCAGAGTTCGTTTGGATGATGTAATCGCAGTCTTCCAAACTCGAGTGTGCACCAGCGAACCGTACCAGAGTCCGCTTAAAAAGAGTGGTCTGGGGTACGGTTCAAGTGAACTCCGGTACGGTTCGCTGCTGATGTGAATGCAATCGTACCAAATCACGGAAGTGAACTGCTATTAATGACGTATTATTTGATAAAAATGTGTGTTTGTGTGTGTTTCACTCACTTTCCTGATGAGCGTGACTGACGCGCCATGAACAGAGAGCTGTATATCTCATTTCTGTTTGCCTTCAGCATTCTTTAGAGCATTTTGCAGTACATTCGTAAGACAGACGTAAGTGCCGTGATGTACCGAAGCTTTGTAAACAAAACGAACGGTTCAAAAATGCAAACATATAAAAGTGCAGAGAGCAATGTCATGCATTTGCCGCTTTCTCCTGCGCCGTCGTTACTAAGCAACAGGGTAAACAGCTGCTGGCTTGATGACACAAACGAACCGCGGTTCGGACCCAAATAAAATAATATGAACGCAGTCCAGCGGGGGCAGGGGGAGGGGGGAACAATCAAACTCGGGTTCGGACCAGGCAAGCGAACCAAGTGTGAAAGCACTCTTAGAGCCTAAACTGTGATCTTTCGCCTTCTCCTCTAGGAGGCAGCATTAAGGATCATCCCCAGCGCTCCCGGCGCTCTTTATCATCCCAGCGCTCAGCGTGCTGGCTCCTCCCCGACCCAAATAAAATAATATGAACGCAGTCCAGCGGGGGCAGGGGGAGGGGGGAACAATCAAACTCGGGTTCGGACCAGGCAAGCGAACCAAGTGTGAAAGCACTCTTAGAGCCTAAACTGTGATCTTTCGCCTTCTCCTCTAGGAGGCAGCATTAAGGATCATCCCCAGCGCTCCCGGCGCTCTTTATCATCCCAGCGCTCAGCGTGCTGGCTCCTCCCCCTCCCGGCGGCAGCGTGCGCTCTCAGCCGCCCCCGTGCACCCCGCGCTCGCCAGGCCTGCGCGCCCGAGCCCATGCCCCCAGCTCCGCGCGGCCCTCCAACGCCATGTGTGTCCCACACACTATGGAGGCGGGCAAGCACAGCGCCAGCCAGGGACAGGGCAGCTGCGCCGGGGTCCCCCTGGAGCCGTTCATTCACCAGGTGGGCGGCCACACCAGCATGATGCGTTACGATGACCACACCATCTGCAAGCCGCTCATCAGCCGAGAGCAGCGCTTTTACGAGTCCCTGCCTTCAGAGATGAAGGAGTTCACCCCCGAGTACAAAGGTAAGACGGATGATCTGGATACATTGCACTCTTTTTAAGGTGGCACCAGGGGTGATTCTAGGATTTTCATTTTTGGGGGGCTCAGCCCCCAATAAGGGTATAATACATATATTAGTGGTGTCAAAATTAGCACGTTAACGCATGCAATTAATTTTTTCAGTTTAACGCGTTAAAAATATTTAATGCCGTTAACGCAGGAGCGGGGCTAGTGTTGGGTGCCCCACTCACAACTGCTGCCTCTGTCTCTTTTTTCTTGATAATTTAATTAGTCTCAGAACTAGGGTTGGGTATCGAGTTCGATACTTTTTAGGTACCGACCGAATTGCCTCGATATCATCGAGTATCGAAAAACGTCTTGTCGTTCGGTACCAAATTTCGATACCTAAGAGGTTAATCTCATCAGCGTCAGTGAGCCAATAAGCCTGCAGCACTAGCCGGTGTGTTCGACTAGAAGAGGTGCGGCGCAGATCGATCATCCGCGAGAGCGATTCGAAAGCGCACGGAGCAGTCTGCTCCGACAAACAACAAGCGACAGACCGGTCATTAATTTCCAATGGAGAGTAGCGCGGGAGCTGTGTGGAGTTCCGATCATATGCAGATGTCCATTCAGACTAACGTTACACGACCGAAAGCGCGTGTTATATGACCATTCATGCAAACTGTAGCATCATGCTACATAAGACAATAAATAAGATTTATATTCCGCTTTTACTCAAAACTCACTTTAAACCACCATCGAGTGTTTGTAATAACTTCCGATTGCCGTCTAACAGGGCCGGATTTACGCATTGCTCAAGACATTGAGCAAATAAATATAACAAACAATAGGGTAAAAAATGACTATAACTATTTCCATGTCTTCCACCATTTTTATGTTGGCTACGGAAATCCTGCTTTCTTTCTCCCAGTCTCTCTCACAGACGCACACAGTGCAGACACGCGGAGACGCGAACAGAAACTTCTTGTCAGCGCTGCACCGAGAATTTATCAGTAAAATAGTTTCACAGCTGAAAAGCTACATGACATTTCTCAGTAGCGAGGTTCATGAAGGAGTTCAACTTAAAGATTCGCTATTAGTGGATGCTGGTGCTGAGAGACGCGTAGACGCAGGTATTAACATGCACTTAATCTCTCTCTCTCTCTCTCTCTCTAATAACCGTAAAAAAGTAATTAGACTGCATTAATAACTACGTTAGCCTGCATATCAATGGCTCAAGCCTCTGTTATCAGCTCTAAAATGACGTTTTGGAATTTGCAACAGAAGGTTTGGGATGAGGTGCTTAAAAAATTTAGTTCAACCCACATAAGATTTCAGGACGGAAACATGTCAAATTTCTTGAAACAAATTATCTGAACAATGTCTTGACGTGTGGTTGTGACTCCAGGCCGTTAAAATTATTAGAGAAATAATGCACTCCCGGAGGTGGTTATGTGGCCACGACTATATGGAATGGTCTTTCTCAGTGCTCAAACAAATTAAGAACTATTCAATTTTTATTGACTGAACGCAAGCGCTTATTCCGATAGAAAACACTGTATCGGTTTCCACTGATTAAGAAATATTTTTGTTTGCTTGGGTGGTAATATTAGGTCTATTATATTAATAGGGAAGCAACTTATATGCAAAGTTTTTGAGTGTTGATTATTAAATAAAGTTAAAGACTATGTAAATATGTGATGCATGGTTTCCTCTCAATAACAAAATAAACACACAACAAACATGACAGTGGTGAGGAAACAGCAGTTCAGGAAACATCTGATCATAGCAATGTAGATATGTTTGCACCAGCTCTGCAGTTCGGCACTCCAGTAAAGTCACGTCACGTCACCTTTATTTATAATGCACTTTATACAATAGATTGCTTTAAAGCAAGCAGCTTTAAAGGGGTCATATGATGCTATTTTAAAGATCATTATTTGGTGTATTTGGTGTAACAGAACATGTTGACATGCTTTAATGTTCAAAAAAACACATTATTTTTCAAAGCCTGTACATTATTGTAGGTCCTCTATGCCCCGCCTCTCTCAAATGCGTCGTTTTCAACAAAGCCCCCTCCTTTGACAAGCGCAGTCTGCTCTGATTGGCCAGCTGACCCAGTGCATTGTGATTGGCCGAACACCACAAGCACACGTCGGAAATGTAACGCCCCTTACCATAATCGCTTCAGCTTTCAAAGTAAATATCAAGACCGAAAGGGCAAAAGAGTCACGTGACAGACACAGTGATGATGCAGTACACAAGCTGCGGTTAAGACAGCTGACGTGCTATGATTTCTGACAGACAGTTCACTCTCCTGTGATGTGACCCTGTTCCCCTCACACACACACACA